GTATTTTAACAACATCTATCAGCGCTGCATACTTTCGGATCGACGATTAAAAAAAGTAACCAAGCCCAAAAGTGTATGTACTGCGCATGACTGGACTACACAGGCAAAGCTCCCCGGTGTGTTATTCATTTGCATCTACTTGGCGAAAGAATATAGGCTAGGCCTACGTGTTTGCTAAACTGGATAACCTGAAAAAAAAGTTTTAAAATGTATGGCATGCGTGGCTCGCTCCCATGACTCGCACATTGGTTCACATGACTCGTACTTTGGCACTACGCCAACTAGAGTCAGGGCCCTGGCAGAAGAATCCCTGGTAGGGTTTGCAGTTTTTTTTTTCGCAAGGGGAATACGATGCTTAATCCTTCATTCCATTTTTCAACTGATAGCCATGCCTTCAAATGTGTTTTCCCACAGTATTGTGTTTTCCAGTATTTTGCCTTTTAATTTGTATATAATTACGTCTCCTCCCTGACCCACACATCATTTTCAAAAGCACAGTATACTGTACTTTTGTACAAAGGTGAAGCAAAGATTCAGCAAAATGGGTTTCGGCAAACTGTTTTGTTATGATTTCAGTGAACTGGATTTGGCAAACTGGGTTTTGGCAAAGTGGCTATGGACTCAGCCAACTGGGTTTCAGCAAAAACTTGTTAGATACAAATATAAGTACTAGTAGCAAGGGTGGGCGTGGTCGAGCTTCGAATAAAAGGTTTCAAAATTGGTCGTGGGGGCGAAGCTCCCGAAAATTTTGACAATTTATAGCGGTTTCAAAGGCATATTTAATCGATTTTAGAGCCTACTAATATGTAAAAAATACATATAATTTTTTTTTTCTCCCCGACGAATTGTGCTTTTTCTCCCCGTCGGGGGGGGCACCCCTGACTAGTAGGACAGTGGTCAGTTAATAAATCAACGCCTCTATCTTGGCTGCAAGCACTACTGCTGTTCCTAATGCGGGGCTGGACACTCTTTCTCCCATTGTGGTGCTAGCACAAGAGAAGTTGAGAGATACAGAGTTGATAATCGGACTCCAAACAATTTGATCGTCTATGTACTTAAGTTAACGTACTACATTGTAACATTGAACCAGCTATCTGTGTATCTGTGAGTATTACTTAATTGGCTCTCTGGACAGAGAGAAATTATTTGTCATATGATTGTTCTGTCCTCATTTTTATCCCCCATTAAAGTCAACAGACATACCACTGCTGACCCACATTTTATCGAGGCTTGAATCTATAAAACGTTACAATAAATTTAATGACTGACAATAAATCCTGACATTTAAACCATTACAATTTAATCACCATAAACAGCCTTTGCTATGCAGACCAAATACTGAAGTGAATATCATGTCTTCTAAAGAAATGAAAGTGCAAAGAGGTACGAATGAGTGTCCTAATAATACGGTAATCACACTCTTTCTCTATCATTGTATAGATCTTTATTTCACCGGTGTTACCAGGATTTGCTCGATGGGGGAGGGGTTCCCTGTGTGCAACGGGAAGGCCAATTTCCTGGAATATAGCATACAGTAAGTGGCGGAGGCAGAGCAGCCCAAAACACCTCAAAGGAGGTACAGGGGAGAATCCCCCGGAAACCCAAAAAATGTAGGGATTTGAAAGGCTTATTTTAGTCTTTCATTCTGTAAAAATTGTTTTTTTCTGTCCGACCAATGTTTCTTCTCCCTGACAGAAGAGGGGATCTGGTCCTAAGCCCCCAACTGGCACCACCACTGTCTTATGTCCTGCAGACTTGTTATTATATACAAAAATGTAACGAAACACAAGATACAAATACACAAATATAATAGCAAATCGAGTCTAAACACTCGCTAAATTTCTCAACCCCATACTGCATTTCAAAAATGGACTTCAAATTCAAATTGGGACAATGAAATATAAGAATTTTTTATTAATTAATATGCTTAATGAATTATTGATTAAAACATTTAATGAACTGCCGATTTCCTAGCAAAGCAATAAAACATGACAAAGATTTTGAATTTTCTGAAGTCCATAAAAACAAGAACACACCAGTTTTTTCTTTTTTTTACATTTACACAGAAAATGTACTCTAGTAGCATACTAAACTCAAATTTAGTGTTTCTATGTTTATAGTTAGATGAAAATGTTAAAATATTCTTTATGATTAAACATGAAAAGCATTATTTATGGAATGGAGGAATACCATTTCCAAGCATCTAGATGCAGGTGCCATATCCTTAAAAATGTGCTCACCTCAGCACACAACCATGGCGAAGTAATGACTATCAAACCAGCACCACCACCACAAACTAGACACCTGTGGGACTGCATCCCCTTTAGAATCATATAAATGGACCCATCTGATTAAGGTTAAGGACCAGGGGCCAGATTTATCAAACTAGAAATCAGCTTAAATTCATCTTAAGTCCATTTTTTTGCTTAAGTCAAATTTATCAATATTGCTTAGCTTAAAAAATGCTTAAAATTAGAAAGTCAATTGTACGTTGGCGCCATCTAACGACGATTTTTAGGCCAAGAATTTGCTAACATTGGGTAATAAATCAGTGTAAGATATTTATTAGGGACATCTTAACTTTCTTGACTTAAGACATTTGCTAAGCTGAGATTGATAAATCCCGGGCCAGATATAAGTTTCCCAGCCCTGAACCACGGTCAAAATGTGGACATTAGCTTTAAAATTTGAATCAAAAAAATTATCACAAATCAAAAAACTGTAAAATGTTACGTGGATAACTCACTACCATATATAAAAACTACGAAAGATAACCCATACAGTAAGATGTTGATTTTTACTTCTATTTTACTGAAGATGACTGAAAAGTGCTTTTAATTTTGTTTTAACTGGATATATTATAAAAGTATAACATTGTAATGAGGGCATCTATAGGTCAAACTGTCCAATAATACTTGCACATCTCAACCCAATCATAGGGAGACCGTGGTGGTGTCAACTCTCAAGCCACAGGGAGCTTTCAATTGAGAACGTAGAATAAGAATGTAGAACAAATTCACTCAACCGTGACTGGTGTCACATGTCTACATTCTACTATAAATCAATTTCGATTTTTTATGATGCATACACGGAGATATCACGATGGCAAAGACCGACCTAGTGTACCAATGTTTAATACAGTATAGGGGCGCAGCTGGGATAAAATTTGCATGCGCAGCAATCAACCAGTTTGGGGAATGGGTGCCGATATCCCCCGGCCAGGCCCAGGGCAGAAGGCCTGGAAAATTTGCATTATTTCATGATAGAATTATTAATGCTTGTGGTACAATCTCAATTTTAATTATTTTGATTAATTGGAGGGGGCCAGGACCCACTCGATCCCTCCCCCTCTGGCTATGGCCCCGAGTACAGTCCTTGGTCTGGCCTGAATGTACATATATTCGGCCAACGATTTCAGGAGAGAATGCAACGCACAACATTCTGACATGCACAGTTAAATTAATGTCATGACTACACTCTATGTTCTACATCGTTGCAAATCAAAAGCACCCTACTATTCCCAACTAGCACCTGAATGCCTTAAACATGGATCTTCATAATCTTAATATGAAAAAGGTTGAATTGTGAATATCTAAATTCAACATTTTTAAATAACTATAAATACTCGTAGAATAATCCAATATCTGTTTCCTATATTTATAAGAATAAGTTTTAACAAAATATTGCAAAAATCTAAAAAAGCATGTTACTACACTATATATTATATGCAAAATAAATGATTTAAAAAGTAATCATCTATTCTAAAATAGGCTGAATTGAGCTCCTATATATGTACTACATTTGATAGTTTTTCTTGGGATCTGACATTGCTCTTGATTTTTTAGCTTGATACACACTGAACGTACAGCCGATTAGGTACCATGATCAGTTGTATACTATATTGTAGTGGCGATCATCCTCCGCAATCAGAGTCACACTGGGGCATGTTTTACAGACGTCTGGGTACATGGAGATGAAGTCTTGTTGGCTATGCTGCAAGGGACGCATTACTTTGATTGAAATTTCTAGAGTGTTTCCAAGAAGACACATTTCAACCTGGAAAAAAAATTTGACCAATTTACTACTTGAAAAATCATTGTACTGTACAATTACACTGAAACTATAAAAATGCGAAAGGCTGCTTGTTTCTATAAATCTAACCTGAAGTTGAATAATAATATAATTCTTTATTGGTCATCATTCTATTAGGAAATTGGCCAATGGGGGCCTGTGGCAGCCGCAGCCCAGCACCACTTGACTTAACTACAACATAAGAGACACATATACAGTAGGGATACAAACATTGCCATTAATTCACCTACAAAAAAAATCATTTCTAATTCTTGTACATGTATTTTAATTATTTTTAACAGGTTAGCAGAGAGAATTAATTTTGGTTTCGGGCTTACAGCCCATTATCTTCTGTGGATTGGATTTCTTCGGTATGATACACACCAAGAATAACTCACGAAAGTCCCAAGACTTATTACCAGTGGGGTCCTTCTGGTGGTGAATTAGGCAGTGCACCAGGATACAATCTCCTGCTATTTTCCAAAGAGTGTACTGCATGTTTTAACATGCACATGAGCCATTTTGCACATGGGACCAACATCTTAAATGTCTCATTTGAAATAGGCTTTTCAACTTGCATTTCAGCCTTCCAGCTGAAGCACAAAGAAGAGCAGTAATGGGTACTGAACTGCAGACCAAGAGATCTCTACTGCTCAGCACACACAGTGGCTAACATTTAGCCAACTGAGCTAGCTGCTCTCAATCTATACAACCCACCAACATGTCTTTTTGTGCTTCATCGTATTGTTATTTACAATTTTTGTATTTTATTGACATTTATAATAAATAAATAAAAGACACTCATCTCCACTTGTGGCATTGACAATTATGATACTACTAGTTGTGAGTACTGATTTCTTTTGACCATGAACATTTAAGTGACTTCTATAAAATACAATTTCATTTGTGAAAATTGACCAGCAAAATGAAAAATTAGAGCAAATGAACACTTGCAATTTTTACACAGACTAAGATGAACAAAACGAACATTTGAGTCTCATAAAGCACTCTACACTACCTTATTCATCAGTAAAATTGATGCTGAAAGTAACATATATCTAGGCCTTAGTGATACATTACAAAGACATCAGATTCTATAGAAATAGTGCACAGTGCTTGATTTTTATGCCGACTTGATAACATGCTAAGACTTCGCACTGCCTTTGTTTTTGTGTGTGGACAAAGCGTTTGAAATCAGTCAAGCGTGTAGGAGCATGTGACGCATAAATTGTGAATGAAAGAGTTAAAACCTTAATGTCCAAAGATGAGCATCCTTTTGTTGAATTGCCTTTGATTAGACAACCTCTCTATCTTATATATTTCATGTATACCCTGGTATCTCATGTTTAAATTTTAATGAGTGTAGGTAAATTTTCAAAAACTTCCCTCACTAATTTATATTTTTGACCAGATCAAAATAGTTGTACTAACACTGTGAATATGTTATTGTTTTATAAAGCACTTTGGATAGGATCATGTATAAGCTGCCACACATGCAGTTAATGCCTGTGTGATAGGTTCACGTGAATTGCCTGAAATGTATTCTCAAGAAAAAATGCAGATTCTGAACAGATTTTTAGTTGTGAAGGTTGTGCCCTAGAGAGGCAAAGAATGCATTTCTGGGCCTCTTGGAAAACAATTTTTCCAAAATGCCAACAAAACAAAACTCTGATGTCTGTAAGTTCGTCTAACTTAGAATCTATGTCATGGTTCTTAGGTCTGTGCAATGAGTGCATATATCCATTTTAGGTGTGCAGGTTTAACCTAAAGTTGGCACTTACTGTATTTTTTTTTTAATGGATCTATTTTACATGTTATAACATGTAAAATAGGGCCATGTTATCCAATAAAAAAAAAGCCATTTTAGTATTTTTTAAAATAATTGCAAAAAAATATGCTACCTGTTCCAGTCCACCTTGTGATCCTACATTATTTAGATGGTTGAGCATCAAAGTCCGAGGATTTGGAGAAGTGTCTCGTGCAAAAATGAGCCATACAAACGTTGGTACCTAAATGACAAACAAAGATTTTTATATTAACGTTTGCAGTATTATTACTGTACTGATGCACTCCCTGTATAATGATTGATGTGTTGGCTTATACCTGCAATATAAAATCCAAGTACTGTACTGTAAAAGTAACTGCTATCAAACTAGATCAAACACTAGGAAATGCATGTGATGGGCCTCACAAAAAGAAGTTGTTTCATCATATCAGAACAATTTTTTTAAGAATAATTATAATATAACAAAAAAAAATAAAGAAAATAAGTGAATATGTATTACCTAAACAGGAAAATATTACTGCAAAAAGTTCACAATTACACTTTTAACAGGTAAACCCAATTTTGAAAATGTTTACATGAGCTTGTAATGTGAATGAAGTGATTGAGCCTGCATTTATTTGTTAGTAAACATTATTGCTTGAACATGGGGTTAACAAAATTCCTTGAAACTAACAACTTTGTGAGTAAAGAATCGCTTTATATTCTGATAATTATTGCATTTATATTCCTTTTTAAATAAAGTTCTAAACAATTCTTGGTGAGCTTGTGTCATTTATCTGTGTAAAGTTGTTTTTGAACACTTGTATAAAACCAAATTACTAAAAAAGAATCACATGCAATTCCAGTGAACACCGCTATCTCTCGTACAAGGTCAAAATGTAAATATACGTCCTCGAATATAGAATATCTAAGCAAAATAACAACGTATTGGTATTATTGTCATACCTTTTACTTTTAATTGACATTCTTCTATTATTAAAGACAAAATTATGAAATTAAATAATTTAAGGAAACAATGGACTCAAGTGACAAGCAGGCAAACCTGGCCACAATAGTAAATTATTTTTTAATCTGTCCGATATATCTCAGGATAATTTGGCCTGAGGCCAATGGGTCATGGCTGAGTGTTAAATATTTGGATTTGGGTCGCTGGCTAAAAAAGTTGCGGAACAGTGGTTTAGTTGAATAAAAAATAAAACTTTATTTCTGCCCAGCTAGCACACCCACTCCTAGAAAAATTGGAAATTTCAGAGAAAAATTATGTTTTAAAATTAACCTTTATTAAAGGTAATGCCTTTATATTGCACAAAATACGAGAGTCTCTATGCGCAGAACAAGTGAGCAAGTACCCTGTCCAGCACCAGTTGCATCTCAGCCATCCCAGGACTCAGGCACCTCCTATCCTGATAGAACCACAAAAAAGCTAGCTGGCAAGTGATGGAAAAGGAGAAATCAAAGAGAACGAAATAAGTGAGTTTTTAAATGAGATTTAAACAAAGAGACGGATGGAGACTCACGAATACATAACGGTAGAGTATTCCATAATTTAGGAGCAGCAACCATGAATGAATGCTACCAACGACTTTAACCTGCAGGGTGGACTATAAAGTGTAGCCAAATCGGATGTTGATCTGAGGGTATGAGCACATGTTGAGGAGCGAGACTTAATAAGTTGAGAAATGTATTTAGGAGATAACTGATGAATGGATTTGTAAACAAACAATAAAATTTTGAAATCAATACGCTTCTTCACAGGCAACCAATGAAGATGACGGAGTGGTGTGTTATGTTGATGTTTAGGTGTTCCAGTAACCAACCGAGCAGCGATGTTAAGTAGCAGCTTAAGCTTATTAAAATATGAGGTTTGAGGCAGTCCGTAGAGGACCCCATTACAATAATCCAATCTGGATGTTACTAAGACGTGTACAAGTTTAGAAGCAGCATCTTTGTTTAAAAAACGTCTAACCTGTTTGATGTTTCGAAGTTGAAAAGATACTGTTCTGCAAATGTTATTAACGTGAAGCTTCATGTACATTGTGGAGTCGAATGTAACTCCAATATTTCTTACTTCCGTAGAGGGAGTGATAAAAGTATCCCCCACCGCTGCCTTGAAATCTAAAATAAGATATCTATTTTTTCCTTAATTAAATAAATGTAAAGCATATCAATTCAATACTACAATGTTTACATTCAACAATAACATTTCATTTTCTCCACCGCCTGGGTGCTTTTGGTAACCATTTGCTAAATAAGAACAAATAAATTGTATTTCTATTTTCTGTAAAAACAATGTTTACACTATTGATTCACAAATCTATCACAATAATTCTTTCAACATCAAATTTAAATCAACATACACTACATTCAAACACTTCCAAGTCTGTCCACAACCTACTAGCATATTTGGCCAAGTACAGCCATATCAAAACTAACATTTCTAGCAATTAATTTTCATAAGTCATAAACTAGGACTTTGGTTTTCGCCTCACTTCACAAATGCTTTTTTAGCTAATTGGTCAGCATTTTGTCAAAAGTAACTGAAATACACGTGCAGGCAATAATAGCAGCATAGTACGCATCAAAAAATTATCTCCTGAATAAGCAGGAATATAATGTGGAAGGAAAATTGATGACAAAATGATTGACAATCCTCACAAGTGTTGACAATACAGCTTCTAAACTAGGATTATTGTATATACCAATTTTTAACCAAGATCCAGAATATCTATGGTTCAGCATACACAACCACAAAAGACATGTATGCTTTTTAAACTACCCAAGTTATGCCCAAAGCTACATCGCTGTGACAATAAAGACACACCCATCACAAAGCATTTTAATAATTAATTGTAAGTAAACAATATAATTATAAAATAATCCCATTTAAAAAAAGCCATCAGACAAACCCATCAAGTATGGCACTCATAACTAAAATATACCAAAATATGATTGCACCAACTCCAACTATGGCTTTATAACTTGAAGTACATTGGCTTACTTGTTCTTCCTTAATATAACTTCTGTGTAAATGTACTGCATTATACATCATTAGAATCTTAATTCCTTCCATTAATAAAATATCTTTTTCTTCTGGGGAGTTGAATAATTTCAGCATGTATTTTTCACGGTTATCTCTATTTTCACACACTTGTTTGTACTGTAAGAAAAGAAAAATCTACTGTATTATCTACTTACCAAAATCAATTATCAATTTAAGCTTTTTATTTCAATTCAATTCAATTTCACTTGTATTTATTACTAGAGGTTTGGATTCATCACTGTCTGAAACACTACCCCTGGAGCATAAATTAAAATAATGGAATCACCCATCTTGCTTTGGTATTCAGGCACAGGGCAGCGTGATGGCATATTAACCTAAAAAACCCAAATGATGGCCTACAGACCAAATAGGCACATTCCGCTGGGTTTGTTTACAGCCGGTCACGTAACATATACTGGGTATAACTTTATTATTATTATTATTATTGTTATTTGGCATTCAAGAAAAATATAATTTTCCAGGAAAAAGAATAGGCAATCAGCCTGAACAAAACAAATTTGAACTCTTCCCTCACTACAAAAATACAAAATGAAAATCTGTAAGATAACAAACAACACATTGAAAAAAATAATCGAAAGGCCAAGACCACATATAAAAGATCAGATAAAAACAAGTAAGAAATAAACAGTTAACTAGATTTGAACTCGTCACTGAGGATGAGTTAGGTGATCCGCCATACATTGACCCTCATGAAGCGCTCATGCTCCTGATTTAAAAGTTTTATATCCTAAAATATGCTCTAATTGGTTTTTTTTATTAAGAAAGAGTAAATTTTAGCATTTTAAAAGATTTACGCATGCGTACTCGCACGTCTTGATGTCCGTGAGCACGGCAATGGCACAAAGAGTTTACTTCTCATATGAATACAGGGTCAGGAACCCAAAATATGTAACATAACGTACAGTAATTTCCAGCTTCATTACGTGCTGTGCGCATGAAAATGAACGTACGGCGTGTAAATTATGGAAAGTTTTAGAATGCTGAAAATGACCTGAAACGTTCTTTAAATTATCTGAAAAGTAATTTTCAAATTTTAACACAAGCGCACGTCGCAAAGTGTACGTTGACGGTAATGGAACACGAAATTAAACATTGTCAAGTGTTTTTAAAACCGCCTGTTGGTAATGCCACACAAATTTTCCATTCAAATAACCTAATATCAAGCTGACAGCGTCGAAATACAGTCTGCCGCCCTCTGGGTTTTATGTTCATTACAGCTTTTAAGAAAGATAGATAAAAGGGCTGCAAAAAATCATTCTTTTTGACCATGATGACGTGATCAAAATGAAAAGTGAAGGGACACTTCTGAAAGAGAATTGTCTCAGCTATAACATACTCACAGGTGGGAGACGATCGAACAAGAATAAGCGAGAAACATACAAATTAGTTTGAAAATAAAGACGTTATAAATAAATATTCAGGTTTTTTTAAAAATTCAGATGGCAATATGATGACGTCACAATGTCTGATCAGTCATAATGATCTATAAAAATCATATCTACAACTCATGTGCTTTCAGAATATGAAATACTTATTTTGGGTCACCTTTTATCCTAAGGAGCTATAACTGATTATAAATAGGTATAATTTTAAGCATATTGTATATAAATGTTGACTCACGCGTACGCGTACTTTCAGACACGCAAACAGAAAATTGAGGTACCTGACATTCATCCTTGACCTGAAGTGTATGCCCATTAAATATGATTCAGAAATGACAAATGGTTAAGATAATTATGGAGTCATCAAAGTATTAAAAAGGGAAAAATGAGGGTGGGGTCAAAAATAACATTTATTTTGACCATGATGACGTCACAAAAGGAAAAAAGAAGTCCCATATATCAAGAAAGAGAATTGTCTCAACTAAAACATACTCAAAGTTGGGAGACGATCGACCAAGGATAAGCGAAATACGCTCAAGTGCGTATTTTCAAAAAAGACGTCATAGATAAAATTTAGTTTTATTGAATTCAAATGGCAATATGATGACGTCACAATGTCCGATCAACCATTATGATCTATCACATTTACAACTTATGTGCTTTCAGAATATGTAATAAAAATTGGGGGTCACCTTCCATCCTAAGGAGCTATAACTGATTAAAAATATGCCTGATTCATACGTTCACTATATATCGGCACAAATACGCGCAAAGTTCCCTATGTTTGATGCGCACGTACGACATTGCTATTGGCCGTAAGTTGACTGAAAAGAATGGAAATTTGTGAAAACAATTTCAGAAACTCAAAAAATGTAAAAAAAAAAACATAATTTCTAGCTTCCGTATGTGCTGCGCAAGTAAAAGTGCACGCGCGTAGTGGAAAATTTTATAAAAATGTTCAAAATAGCCTGAAAAGTGCTCTAATTTAGTCAAAAAGTGATTTCAAGCATTTTGAAAATTTAACGCACGCGTTATGAAGCGCACATGTAAAATTATGTTACATTGCATTTAACATTAACCCGAAGATAATGCTCTCGTAATAAGATTTCGAAATGGCAATTGGTTAGGCTGAAATGGTTGATTATGTAAAAACGCAAAATTGCGTGTAGCTGACGTCACGCATGACTGGTCACCTTGAAAACCTTACCGTGACTATTCCAGACGAAGCCAAAATGATCGATGAAGCGACCGTGTGCGTAACTCATGACAATTTTGAGATATCGTGCGAAAAGGATGGAAGGAAAGGTAGAATAAAAAAAAAAAGATGAAGTAAGATCTCCGACAATAACATGAGGTCAGTAAATTGAGATATAGTACTTGCTGAGGGCAGACTTAAAACTTGTAATTGTTACGGATTGTTGAATAGATAGATAAAGGTATCTGTTCCCAGAGTCTTGGAAATGAAATGTATGCCAAATTAATAAAAATATTGCCTTTTACATTCCAGTGTATTAGTCTGCCCTCACATCAAAAGAGGGAGGATAAAAGCCTTTCATAATTTTAAATCCTAAGATGAGTTTGTGTAGTTTGAAAACATCCTCTAGACATAAAATATAGTGTTTGCAATCTATAGTGATAGGATGTTTCCCAATTGCCTTCTTTTCTAAACATTGTGGTTTGTGTTGCCCTCCTTTGAATACTTTCAATCTTTTCGGTTGGAGAACTTGCAGTGCGATCAGTGTGAAAGTATAGCAAAAGCTAATGTTATGCTTGTGAAAACAATCACCCACCATTAACATAAGAAATAACTGGCAAGGAAAGCCAGGCACTATGATTGTCCAAAATAGTGTTTATTCACTTATTCTAGCATTTCTCCATGCTTTGTATGCTTTAGAATTTGTGTGATTCTCTGTAAACTTCAGCTAGCCCTGAACTCATAGCGTTTTAAAAATTGCAGTTTGCGGATCGAAGACTCCCGTGCATACCTAAACAGGCCATAGATATACAGGGGCCTAGGCCTTGCATTTCTCAAAATATCTCAGTGTTCGGGGCAGTACCTTTTGGAGCATTAGCAAACCATTGTGGCAAAATTCTGAAGTTTAATTTCCAATCAATTTGATATAGTTTACTGGCATTTCAACCAACATTATTCAACATCAAATACGTTTTACAATAGAATCACTCTGAAGAAGACACATGTTTTCCTTTTACCGAGCGTAACTCGCACTACCTGTTTACAATTTATAACCACTATACATCACATGACCAAGCTAGCAGAATGCGCCTACTGCTTCTGACCTATAAAATTGGTTATTTTTTTTATTTCATAAATTTTATAATATAAAATTAAACAAACAACTATATCTTAATTTTGATTGGTTTTAGCTTCTAAATCAACAATATTACAATATCTTAAGCTAATTATCATTGAAACCCCAAAAAAATTCTTTAATATTGACACAAACATGTAGGGACAAAAAAAAATGCTACAGAAAGAGACTATCCCAGTGTACTGGTTCATACAGACCCTGTTGTGGACAGACGAGAGACAGCTTGTACCATTTTACGGGGTAGCTCAGACACAAACAGACCCTTAGGGGAGAAGTACTGTGTGAGCTAGTCCACACCTCAAGCACTTTGAGACTTCAGTATAAAACGCTGTATCACAGGCGGGCAAAGTGCAGCCTGCGGGAAAAATGCAGCCAGACAGTGACTTTTTTGCGGCCCGCGAAAATTAATTAAAAACGCTATGTGTGCGGCCCACTAAAAAACACCTTGTTTTTTTACGGCCCAACACTGATCATCTGTAAAAATTAATGTTAAAACTGAGAATAAATTGGTATAAAAGCAGTGCATAAAGGTTTTTGAAAGCACACTGTAAACATCAAAGTTTGGGTGCAGCCCTCGGTGTTAAATGAAAAATTCACTTTGGCTCTCCAACCGATTTTTATGCCCACCCCTGCGCTATATAAATCCAACCATGTTACATTACATTCTTGTATTACCTCAGTTTGAAGAGTTGTCAGACAATGATTTAGCATTTTCCTAACTTTCTGCAGAGTGTTTACTTGACCTAATCGACCACCACCAAAACTCCAATGCTGCATCCATTCTAGCTCACATAGTTCCTCAGTTATCTAGTAGATGAAAAAAAAGTATGAACTTTATTTTCATATAACAGTGTACTTTTTACATATATTGATAAATGGTTTGGGAATTTCTTAATACAAGATGTACTAATTAAAGTTGGTTTGGAGATTAGTAACATTTACCAGTAAGTTCACCTGGAATCTAGAATGTGTTTTTCTATACTTAAAATTCACTCATTTATTTACTTCATATAAGATTTTAATAGTGGACATTCAGAAGAACTGTAGAGAATCACAATCACAATGTGTAACATTCAACACTCAAAGAGGAGAATGTGTGTAATTCAGTAACCTACCAATTTAATTCTGAATCATTCACCTCCTACCAAAAGACGTAAGCAGTGTGCCCAGAGTCAGTTTTAAACTCACAACCTAATGATTGAAAGTCTAACCTTAACCACTTATGCCCCATGGCTTCTATACATTTATCATCTTCAATTTGTGTTCCCATAATGTACTCCCTTAAATCTCCAGTCCTACTGAAGACTAAATCCAGAACATCAATGCATACCTTTTCTGTATTTTTCCATTTTTCTAAAATAGGTAGACCCTTTACTAATGCTTGGTATAATGTAGCTCTTATGGCGCAATAATTATCCCCACGTATGCGACGAAGAAATCTGTATCCATTGTTAAAAACTTGTTCATATCCCTGTGATCAGTCAATGGAAAAATCAAATGGAAACATATTAATAAGCTACACCACTGTTTTACAAGTACTGTAACAGTTGTATTGATCATCTCAAAATTTAACAGTTAAAGAGCATAAATTACAGAATTTTTAGGTTAAAATATACTCTATACTCTGACATTACTGGGTTGTGTCAGAATTTCTGACTCGTACAGAAGATGCGCGGTTGGCAGTTTAAAGCTGAAGAGAAAACAAATCTGCAATCACTTCTTTAATTATTACAGTTCATTTAATCAACATTAGTCGGGGTGGTTAAGGACAGGGCTGGAAAAAGCCTGCGACAGGCAGTCGGATGCATTGACCTTTAACTCTGAGGCATTTTAAAATTTAAAATTGTTCTCTTTTTTACACATCACAATTTAATGCATAATAAAATTTAATATTTTTGGTTGCTCCAAACTACTAAATGTACTACTTTTCACTATAATTGTGTAAAGATAACATTTGGTCCTGGAGGCATTTGATTAAAATAATAAGTCTTATTATCAAAAGATAATTAATAAAATGCACGGAACAGAACACAATCACACAATGGTTTAAATTTTTTACTGGGATGAATTGAATTGCATCGAAGGGCTCAAGCATGGTGATCACTCACCCTCAGTATATGGTTCTGGGTTTGTCAACATTATGCTACTCTACGTTGAAATATTTAAATTTTCTATTAGTCCAATCGAACTGAAACATTTTTGTAATACTATACTTCATTTGACAAAAACAATTGAAAATTTAATGTTTTCTCATTTGCAAAATGGTATTGTTAAAAGTACTCAATAGGTGGAAAAGAAAGCAAAGATAATAGTTAAATGGTTAATGGTATATATTTGGATAGCACAAATATCATTAACATTTTATCAACAAAATAAAAAGGCGTCATTAGAATTTTACTCAAGATCCTATTTAACATTCATCAAGAATACGATGTTGTTGTAAATATTTAGTTTTATTTTCCTGATAAATTCTTTATAAAAATTGCAAGGAAGGTAATGACTCTTGTGCCACAGACCCTGGTTTAAACCTGCAATTATTGCAATTCCCTGTGGATAATTCAAAACACTATTGTTAATACTTCTACCACAATTTTTACACATGCTGATTACTCTCCTGCTTTATAGTAGATAACATACAATGTGATTACAGTATACTGTATACCTGTCTCATATTTTGTGCCTTTTCAGTTTTACTCTTCCATTCTTTCTTTGCATAATGTATGACATCATGTTGACTACCCACACTTTTTAGACGTTGCTGACCAATGCTATCTGAAAATTTATAAATTAAATTATTATAAATAACAGATTCCATGGGATTTGATTGTTGGCAGTAAATGCTAAAATGTTATTTCTGCAACAAAACTTCAAAAGGAAAACAATTAGAATGAATTCAAACAATAATGGTAATTTCAAAAGAAATATTAAACAACATAGTTTCATGAGCAGATCTCCATCAGTTCACTTCACAATTCAAATTTATAACTGAATAATATAGTTACAGTTAATTAATGCATCATGCAAAAAAAAAGCCTCTATAGCTTGGTTCACGTCGAACTTTTATCTAGATATACATCCACTTAACTAGTTAAAAGTTCGACGTGAACCACTCAATTATAGCTAGTTAAAGGAATTAAGTCACTTAAGTTAAGTGACTTAACTTTACTAGAATAACGGTAAATTAACTTGCTTAACGGTAAAGTCGGCACGGATTACAAGGACACGATTACGTAACATAGGCATCTAAGCCAGCTTTGTTGTATTGTACCACCATTATCATCTTCTGGCTGGCAACAATGTACTTCAACAATGCTAACAACAGCATCGAAGTAGTCTCATTAGTCTGGTTTTCAGAAATTATTAGTAATATTTTGGGTAAACACCCAGCAAACGTCCGTTTTACGAATAGTCGATATTACCAATGACTTTGCCCTTTGCATCATCGACCAAGTAATAACGTTAAAAAGTCCGATTGCGTACGTTTTTCAAAGTGATAATGTATATTTTTCTTAATAATAAAATCAGATTTGTTGTATTTATTTATTGACAATTCAGTATTTTCTATTTCTGCTATAATTGTCGCTATTAATTCAATTTCAACGAACTACCACCAACGCCAGTCGTTAAAATGAGTGCACATGTTTACGATGACGAAATAAACAAGTGTGTGGAAGTCAGCAACTTATTTGACACTGCTAAGCTAGATTTTCGCTAAGTGCATGTAAACAACACAATTTAGCGATCTAAAAACTACAAAACAGGACAGAAAGGTCCATAAAGTATACATACGTTTTAATGAAAATTAAAACAATATTTTGTTAAATGGAAGAATGCTAGCTAGCGATTAAAATAATTCGTTTTTTATCGAAGGTAAATGTAACTAGGGCCAGGGCCTAGAGAATCAGCCACTTATTATATTGCAATAGAAGACGCTGCTGCACTGGTCGTTGGTTCATACTGGTCGGCTAGGTTTAGGTAGTGAAACTCACACCTTCTCTACAGTAGTTTACAATTTTTTTTGAACGAATACCACTTGGTACTAGAGGTTTGTAAAATACAGTAGATGTTTTATTAAACAAGCCTTTCGACCGTGTGAGGTCGAGGGCCTGAAACTGGCTGGCTGTTTATCTGGCTCTAACTTGGCATTGAACGCAATTAGGGGATTATTGTATCATGTTTCAAGACGGGTATATCTAGATAAAGTTCGACATGAACCAGGCTTATGTGTTTGGTGATTGAGCTCTTTGAGTTTGGTATATTGGTGAGAGAAAAAAAAATGATGTACTGTTAACTCTACAAAATGAACCTACTCCTTAAACTAAAGCATGGTTGGCAATTGGCTCCAAGGTGTTCATCTGCCCTGTATTTAGCTGGTTTTTTTTTCTTGCTGCTGGGTATCTACCCTCCCAATGGCTGCTGTTAAGACTGCCAAATGAGGTTGCAAGGATCAGTTGCTGGCAGCTCGACAGGATGCAGTTTATATCCAGTTTACATTGAGTGTCCCAAATGATCAGTTTCTGCTGGACAGTTCACAATCGTTAGATATACAGTTGAATTTTCCCCATGGTCAAATCCAAAAAATTTCCACTTACAGATCGTTAATGGAAAACACAACAATTTGGCATGTAAAATAAGATTGACTTAGAAATTATCAAAGTTAGGCAAAGTCAACTTAGGAAAGTTCAAATGTATCATAGTTAATAAAATAAATTAAAAAATGAAAAAACTATGATTTGGTCAGTTTTTGGGCTGTTGTTTCAATTGCTTATAATATTCAGATTTTAATTATAACAATAACAGTATTATTAATAATTAAATATATTCTTTATTTATTTGACAGAAATTTACCTTACAAGAAAGTGTGTTTTAAGACATTAAAGGACTTTGCACCATGGCTTACAAACATCAGATAAAGAGATTGAATCAAACTATGCTTTAATTTTCAGATCCAAGTTTGTAAAGCCTGCTTATTCCTTGTTAAAAACACCCGCACATCATGAGATCATGCTTTTTGTTAAAGTTAATACATTATTATTATAATAAGCAAGAAATATTTCTTGTTTGTTTTGAGTGCTTTTAAATCATTCTTATGGTCCTAATATTTTAGTTTAGTACAATTAAATACAGAATTTGAAATTGCCAAAAAGTTCATCAAAGATTTTAGCAGCCAGAAGGGGCTTCAGTCACTAGATTCCAGAATTTCACCCCCGGCTCATAAATCATTTACAGTTGCTTGCAATTCAGAGATTATATTTGGCCCACGAGATCAACTTTAAATAATCTTTCTCTTATATATAATATATTAATTAGTCCAAAAAAAAAATGTTTGTGTTGACCACGTTGTATTCAAGCAAAAAAAAAAGCTAAAATGCCGACCCTGAATTTCATAAAATTTGGGTCGGTCGGCGTGGCAACACAATTTTTTTTTTTGGCCTTAAGAGCCACCTGAGCAATATATTTTAAGATTAAAAATCCACAATCATTTCTTACCTAGATACAATCATATATCGTTCAAGGCACAACCAGTGATGTTAACCTAAAAATTAAATTTCATCAACTTCATCCTCAGTGGCGTAACTACCGCAGGTTCAGGCGATTCATTGAACCAGGGGCCCCTGATCTCGATGGCCCACAATCTTTAGGTGCCCTTCCCCCTTATAAAACCTAATAAAGCAATGCATAAAAATCTAGATTGATAGTATTTAACTTTTACTGCTAATTCTTAATTTAAAATTGCTAAAACCTTTGAAATATACATTCCTAGCGTAAAAATTGTCACTCGAACGCTGATATCACCGTGATGGATGAAAATCCACAGTGCAACAGATCGTCATCTGCATGCATGAAAGCCTGACCAATATAGATTACCAACAATTAACGTTTGCAGCCAAACAGTCTGTAGATCTCTAACATAGGCTTAGCCAGCGAGTCGTCCGGCCGTCTTTTGGACGGCTACAATTAATTGGGACGGCCACTTTTACGGAGACGGCTTGGACGGCTTGGCCTAATCAGCTCGGCCTAGCCTAATTGGGCCTGGTCTACCTTTATCAAATTCTTTATAATTTTCAAATTTACTGTATCGAATGTTACATTAAACTAAAGCTAAATCATATTTACGTTTGATAAAAGGAACATTTATTGATTGAATGTACGTTGTTTTCATACCAATATTCGGTGGGGATTCCCAAAGATGGGCGTGGCCCGCTCATCAGCTCAGTGCCACAGCCACTGGCTTCCATCTTGCCTATTTCGTTTTTCTGTCTAAACCCTTGATCTCTAATGTAACGATGTTACGTCTGATTTTTGCCTGGGCTTTTGTCCCTGTACTCTGAAGGGGCTCTTTTGCGGCCCATTAATTTCAGCTCGGAATCACTTCACTTTAGTCTGTATTAGCCGTAGCAAGTACACACATCTTACTCGCGCTTTCAGGCCAAATCTCACGCTTGTAATATTGTGAAATCTCATATTTTTTTTAAATACTTTATGCACTTGTCAATTGTAGTCCCGAACTGAATCTCTCCGATTTTTGGAATCCGGGTTTCTTGGTACACATGGAATCTTCTAACAGCACTCTCAATTTTATATGTATACTGGTAATTTTCTGTAGCAGAACTTGAAGATGAAACGGCCATGTTTAGACAAACATTTTTTTACGCATCAAATCCCTCAGCTGACACCAGAGCCGTAGATAGAGAGAGTTTGGCCAACTTGGCGCATGTCAGGGACGTGGAAGCCGCGGCTCTCCCCCTTTGTACACAGTGTTAAAATTTTAAAGCTTATTTTTGAGACAATACAAATTCTTTCCTGGGATCACTCAAAATGTATACTTCTAAAACATGTAAATATGCATCAGTACATGTTACATTACATAAGCCTAATAGAACACATAGGTCTAAAGCGTGATTTAAAAAAATCTTAAATCCATAAATCTCAGGCCAGGTCTTTTAAGATAGAAATGCGATACTGTGCTTCAAATTCGTTTTTATCTTTTTCCAAGTTTCTTTAAATTTTTGTTTAATAATACTACTACTAATAGTAATAATGATAATAACAATGATGATGACGATAGTAATAATTGATAATAGGCCTAATATTAATAGCAATAAAAAGTGAAGAAAATTGTGCTAAATGCAAAAAAAGTTGTGACTTAAGAAAGTATAATACATACTCCAAGTATTGAAATACACGCCATCGTGTTGGGATTCAATATTTCAACATGAATTATGTCATCATCAGGAATCTCTCCGATTCATCATTCCTGATGATGACATAATTCATGTCGAAATATTGAATCCCAACACGATGGCGTGTATTTCAATACTTGGAGTATGTATTATACTTTCTTATCTGAGATTAATCAGTGGACCTTTCGGTTAAGTTGTGACTTGTTGATCATAATATAGTATAGTTAAAGCTATTTAATTTAATTTTAAATAACAATATTGATGTTATAGCACTTAACGAAACACGTTTAGATAAAGAAATTAAGGATAATGCAGTATCAATTGATGGATATGATATTTTTAGAAATGATCAAAATCGAAATGGGGGAGGGGTTGCCATATAAATCAAAATGGTGGTTTTAACTATAAATTAAGAAGCGATCTTATGCATGATGAACTTGAAATTATTGTATTGGAATTTACTAAACCTAATTATTAATTACTTGGTATCGCCCTCCAGATTCTAAAGGGGAGCTCTTTGATATTTTTGAAAAACTTCTTGAAAATAATGACTTTAATGAAAAAGAAACCATACTCATTGGTGATTTA